TTGAATTAAACAGGTAACTGTCTCACCTTTCGTTTAGGCCCAGCCAAAAACTCCTTTGTCTGCAGCCTAGTGTGATGCTAGTTAGCTGGTAGCCTCCCTGCTCCTCCAGGTATCTCCTCTCTCAAAGCCCACCCAGGGACGCCAGATGTTGACAATTCAGATTTCCCGGGAAATGTGATTGTCGTGGTGGGCCCGCCCTGGTAAATCAAATGCCCGCCCAGAGACGTATGTCTGCCGCCGGGTCTGACCCCAAGTGATTTTGTTCAGGAACCGGGCCTGATTTATTGTGCCCCCCTCAGAAAAGAACTGGCCCCAGCCTGGCCCCCCCTTTCAAATTGGTCTATAACCGCCACTGCCTATCAGTAGTCTTTATATGACACGTTCAGGGAACCTCGGTTAACACTATGGACAAGGGACCAATAATATAGTGAAGGAGCCCCGCCTCCCCTGAAGATGCATTCGGGAACCGTGATCTTGGTGTAGCTATAAAGCATTTGACAGTAGGCTACTGCCTGCAGAAGACTGGTGTCATGGTTCTGCCACAGTGGCTGCACCCTCCCCTTCTCTGTGTCTAACGGGGACGCGCTTAGGTGCTGCAGACTCGTGACGCGCATCGTCTGATTGTATGGATGGGAGCAGCGAGAGGCACGCGGATGAAAGGTAACAGATTTGAAACCATGTCCTCTCTCAGAAACGCTAAACTGCGGTATAACGCAGCGTCCAGCATCAGTGAGTCCGGCTTTTCGGCGGCATTTAGTCAAACACAGCCCTGAAGGACATTCGGATACACAAACAGCTCGCCACGAGTACCGTTAACACCGCTATCCGGTACAGGACGCTAGCTACATGGCCCCGTGTAGAGTCAGTGTAACAGAGCCTCGGTAGTACGCTAAAGCATGAATGTTATTGAGGTTGCGACTGGAAGTGATATCTAGCGGTCACACAAGGTCCTGTTACTTAATCTTAACTTAAAATTACTAACAAAAGACTACGAGCACGTCGCTGTATTAAATTGAATCCTGTGTAGGACACCTGATTTTTGAATGGTTGCTGACTGGAGACTTACACACAGCCAATGTCAGTAAGGACCAACTTTTATATTTCTTATTCTATTTCCTGAAATATACCAAGTACCAGAGTGTAGGAATACTTTTTTACAAGTAAAAGTCCTGCATTCAAAAACGTTACTCAATTAAAAGTACCAAAGTACAAGCACCAAAATAAACGTAAAGTAACAAAAGTAATCATTATGCAGATTGGCCCATTTCAGAATAATATATATTATATGTTTTGATTATAAGTATTGATGTGTCAATCAAGCTGGTTAATGTTGAACTGATTTTAATTACTTTATTCACTGCTAATTAGCATGTGAATTTACTCCAGGTGTAACTAAAGTCTTATTTTAGTTTTGATCATATAGCCAGGTACCAAAAAAAAAGGGGAGTGATTAGTAAAATATACATAAAGAATACTAACTAGGTAACATAAGATAAGAGTAAACAAGTTTAAATGATTTGTTATTGGTTGTGATCATATTCTAAAGATGTTTGGATTATTGAAAAGTATACAGCTCCCTTTCATATGAGGGTTGAGAGCTGTATCCATGAATTCATTTTGTGCTCAAAGTGCACCAGATTCTGGTGCACTTTGAGCACAAAATGAATTCATGGATACAGCTCTCAACCCTCATATGAAAGGGAGCTGTATACTTTTCAATAATCCAAACATCTTTAGANTATTGCAAAGGGTCTGCTATCAACACTACCTAATCGGCTGTAACTACATTTCATTGTCTCTTGATCTGCCAACCTATTAGATCAATACTAAATTAATCTTTTGGTCTATAAAATGTAAAAAAGTAAAGAAGATGTCCATTTAATTTCTTTTCTGTGAATAGTGATACTCTTTAATCTCATGATTTTTCAGGCAGAACATATTTGAGTTAAAGGTCCATGTCATGGCCATTTTCTACTGATCAACTTAACCTGGATATGTTTGAGTTAGCCGGTTGGCCTAATCCAGTGGTTCTCAAACTTTTCATGTCATTCCCCACTTTGAACAGGTGGGCCTTTTCAAGCCCCACCTGTTCCTCATCGCTCCAATAAAATGGTAGGCCGAGCTTAAAATTGTCAAATGTATCGTTCTATAACAGGGGTCTCCAACCTTTTTTAGGATGAGAGCTACTTTCAAAAAATAAAACAAGTCGTGAGCTACTTTTACTCCACTAGTTTTTTGCGGTGTATATATTTAGCACATTTTAACATTATGATATGCTGACCTTTAACCTTTGTGTGCTGTTTGGGTCTGTGGGACCCGTTTTCAATGTTTAATAAAAGAAAATGTATGCAATTTAATTATTTTAACCTGCTTTATTTGGGGGTGGACCTCACCTCCTCTAGGGGGGTCCGGGGCATGCACCCCCGGGAAGATTTCTTTTTAATGTTGAAGTGAAATGCCTCAATCTGGTGCACTTTGAGCAAAAAATGAATTTATGGATACAGCTCTCAACACACTGAAAGGGAGCTGTATACTTTTCAATAATCCAAACATCTTTAGAATATGATCACAACCAATAACAAATCATTTAAACTTGTTTACTCTTATCTTATGTTACCTAGTTAGCATTCTTTCTTTTTATTTATGCATATTTTA